ATTTTCAAAGTGACAATACGATCAGCTATAACATCCAGTTGACAATCCAGTGCATCGTGTGTCACAATGAGATCGGCATCAATTTGTTGATATTGAGCCAAAAACCAACTGAGCAAAGCCCTTTCGGAGTCATGTTTGAAGATCTTGGTGGCTTTGAATTTGGTTAACTTGGCATTCAAATCAAATGGCCAAGTGCACATTGCAGGTCGAGTAAGGCCGCACATATGTTTGTTGAATGGCGGATTTGGTGGTGGCTTATCAACTTGAAAACGATTGTGGACCAACATGGATATCATGCATATTTCATTTTTCAGCGTTTTGCTATTTAGCGAGGTGCGTACATTTAACGTTAGCAGTGTAATGGGTGGTGGTGGCACTGGCTTAGGATCTTCAGTTAGTACCACAAACTTTGGCTCACTAACGGTAACATCAATTTTACACCAACTCATCGGTGCAGGATTTACTTTGAATTGTTTCAAATTTAACCAACAAGGTCCCTTTATTTTACGATCCAATATAAATCTTTCCAGAGATGTGGTATTTGTACCGAAAATATGAGCAATGGAATTATATTTAACTTTAGTATTTGGTGGAGGTTTCTTGCCATCGTAATGCACTTCCATATAATCGCATTGTTGTGGTACATCAATTCCTATCGAATGATATGCAAAATTCTTTGTTACTTTGCGTGAACGAAACTCGCCAAGTTTCAAATCGTTCGATATGGTTTCATCGAATTCTTTATACAAATCTGCCAGTGTGACTTTTTGTTTCGTTGGTTCCTTAGTGATGGGATCCAAAAGCTAGAATTAAAGATCGAATAGAGTGAATTAAATACATATTGAAATCATAAAATAAGGAAAAACTTGACTCCAATTCTAACCACACAAATATTTTTAGTGCTTATCAGAACAACTCTGAATAAACATTTCGTATGATGTACCGATATAGGTCTCCTACAGAAATAAATAGACGTATGTGACCGATATTCAATACCGACAAATTACAGGTCCTATGTTTCGAAAATGAGGCTATGACCTTCAAAATATCAGTCGAGACTATTACATAAGAGCCATGTCAAATCATATACGAACATTAAAATAACTTAATCGACCGAGCATGTCATATCAACTACCCTGATTTTACCTAATATTAAAGACTTGCGTAGAGAAATTTTCCTCTCTAAAAAAACAGGAATGCCTAATTACATCCTTTTTAAATCGAATCGAATCAAAATACCGAAAATGTGATGGTAAATTTCATGGAGCTTTACCAAAGCGAGCTCCAATACCAACATTCTGGTGTATTAGCGATGGATGCGCAAAATATCAAGGCTCTATTTTAAATATTGCAAGCTCTATCGTAATATGCAAAGACACAATTTTACTTACATATTCTCTCGGCAGTAGATATATAACCCGATCAATTTTCTCCACCCGTACACTAATCGATTTACCCTCTTGGGTACGACCAAAGAGAAAAACTTCACCTGGACGACGTAATGGATCTTCCCATGCTTCCCAATACCAGAAACGTAAATTCTCTTGGGCACTCAAGGCATCAGTGCCATTAGTTACCGGAGCAGATGTTAATTCTTCATTAAAATCATCCATTTGACAAATATTTTCCCAATTGTTGAGTAATTTTTGCATATCTTCCTCGGGAGTTGGAGCGGGTACTTTTGTTTTTGAGGGCGTTTCAACGGTTTTGGAAGCCCCAACAGTTTTCTCCAAATCAAATTGATTTTCATCATCCTGTAAACAACTGAAATCCATATCATCATCTGGTATAACAGGTTCCTTAGAAGATGATGCAGCAGCGGGTTCTTCTTTTTCTTTTGGAACAGATTTTAATTCTTTAGTGTTTTCTTTATTCTCTACTGTGGGTTCAACTACTTTCGTTTCTTGTTGTTTTACAACAGTTGCAACCGGTGCTGCAGAAGTTTTCGGTTTTTCTTTTGGTTTTGATTTAAGAATACTGTCCAGAAGTTCATCATCACTGGTCTCTTTAGTCTTCTTTGACGACTCTTTCATGTTGATGTTGTTGATGAAACTGTTCATATATTCCTTGGCCACAGCCGCATCTGATTTTCTGGCATTGGTAACAATACGGGCAGGGGCAATTACTTTTTGTGGTTTGGCTGCTTCATTGGAAGTTGAAGCGTCTTTGGGTTTGTCTTGCAGCTCACCCAAGATATCATTCAAAATGTCATCATCTTTAATTGAAGTTGCAGGTGCTTTTTTAGGTACAGCATTGCTGAAGAGATTTCGAATGGAACCTTTGCCTTTGGCTGGATTATCACTTTCCCGTGGACGTTTCTTGGCACCTTTCTTTTGATCTTTAGATGTCTTGGCGGCACCATCATCATCTGAATATTCATCCTCATCCTCGAAAAAGTCACGACCATCTTCGGCATAGCCGGTGCCATCTAAAACAATGCCGCTTTATAGATCAAATACATTCGGTAACGCATATCCGCAGACTTACCATCTTCTATCCAATCATCACCATATAATTCCTTTGCTTTCTTTGCATATTCACGTTCATCGACTATTTCATATACACTATCGACCTCCTCTTCAACTTCATACTTATGTTTGCTACCTTTTAATTCTTTCAGTTTGGCCAGGGCAGCAAAACGACCTGCCTTATCAACTTTTTGCCTTTTTGCTCGTGGCTCACCTAAGGAGGGGGACAAATGAGAATATTACATTTTGGACAAATTTTTTGTTTAGTGGATTAGTTACATGGTGAGTCCGCCATTGTAGAAGTAAAATATTTTAAAATGTGTTTGTAAAATTTGTTAAATTGTAAAAAAGAACAGATCAGCAAAAACGAATGCTTGCGATGCAAATAAACTCTCAAGTTTGCAAACTTGGCGGGAAATATGACAGCGTTCATAGAATCAGTGATGTCAACACGAATAACACGTGAATTAATGAGTTATTAGCGATTTTTTTTATGAAATTACAGTTTTGCGGTAAAATTAGTAAAAATATTATAGACATTTGGAAAAAAATGTAATCATGTTATTATTTGAAAACACAAAAAATAAAATACATATCGTTAAATGCTACCAAACATTAAGAACTTTTACGCTTTTACTAAAGTTATTTTAATCCCTTAGTATAAACCGTGCAAAAAACCACATAAACTTATGACTTGTAGTCTTTGGAATATTTAATAAAAATAGGGATATTATTTGAACTTTGAAGTCCCATATATTTCTGATACGATATACATTTTGTATCAAAGAACGTAAATTATATTTGTTATTTGTGTTATTTGATACAATAAAAATGTATCTAATAGATGAAAGAATTCGTCGGTCAACTTTTTCTTTTCAAAATTTTGAACTTTTGGGGGGAGGCGCCAAAAGGAGTTAACCGTTAGGACCCATCTTCGAACTTTATCTAGATTTAGAGATTCATGGGACTTTCAACATTACCAGACCATCTCTAGCTTAGATTCCAAATATATCTGCTTCGCGAAATCAGGAAAGACATGTTATCACTGACTTCTTTGCCATTACCAAGAATAGCAATAAATATGTCCACTGACTTAACTTTTATGCTATCTTTGCTGATTAACGGTATTTATTTCTTGGTTCAATATCCACGTTTTATTCTGAAAATTAAAATCGTATTTCCCCATCTCCATAGACTTGATTTGGACGATAACAACAATACAGAAGTCCCAAAAATATCCTTTAAATAAAATACTTAAAAAAATGAAAACCCAGACCCAGACTTTTACGGATTTTGGACACGCTCTTCAATCGTATTGATTTTTATATTTTTATCAATATTAGTTCACAGTTAGGTATAGGTTAGCATGAAGGATGTTCAGTCACCAGTTTTCTAGTATATCTTCACTCGGAGCAATTTTGTCCTTTGTTTTCGTCCTAACTACCTTAGAATATAATACAGATAATGGAAAAATGTGGATGGTATAATTATAGATAGAGTTGATTATCAATTCCATATTTACCTTCGATGTTCTTAATTTTTTTTTTTTTTTTTTTTTTGACCGAGTAGTCTGATTTAAATTTAAAATGATCAATAGTTCCACTTTAAATGTAAACCCCATAGAAAGTAACGCTCCAAATACTTGCTAATTTGAAGATGTTGAATAGATTTTCTAAACGAATAGGCAGTAATCTGATGTTTTGGGTTGTAAGTGGGTGGGTCCTCAATTTTACTTACAAATGTAATAAATACTAGTTAATGGTTACAAATATCGTCCACACAACCGTAACGCCAATTTTGGACCATATATCTGGAATTTTTTCCATTTAAAGAGTATACAATGTACAATTTCTGGTGAAGGGGGATATATCCCTATATAACGATCTTTCCTTTTTAGATGCCCTATTCAAAATCTTTCGGTGTAATAATTGTATATTTCAAAGTCGGATTACAAATTTATTTTTTATTGGATTAAACAATTCCTTAAATTTCTAAACTTCATTTTCATCTTCTAAATCATGATATAAAGTCATCGTTTTTGCTCCCAGTTTTCTTTCAAAGAGGATTTTTTCCCTCTTCATTTCATCCCTTTCCCGTTTCAGCTTGATTTCCAATAGCTGTAATCGCTTCTTTTCCACTTGAATTCGTATACGATGCAATTCCCATTGCCGTTGTTTGTGACTTGTATTGGGTGTTGCAGCTGAAGGCGATCGTGAAGCGGAGACATTATGTCCTGAAGACGACGATGATGATGATGGTATTTGGAAGAGGCGTGGAGGATGCATTTCAACGGATACTTGTGTTTGTGTAGTTGTTTCTGATCGGTTGACTGGAATTTGAGTGCATTTCGTTGAATTATTACAGGTCTGATTGGACGTTTTTATAACATCTGTAGTATTGTCACCGTTGTGTGTGAAATTTTCTTCAATTTCCAACTCGGAATTTCCTGTCTCAGGAGACTTGCTATCCTCATCACTGCTAATAACAATTATATTGTCGTGGGACAGCTTCTTTGTTTTATCCCAATCCCCTTCATTGCATTTGAGTATCTCAAAATTGAATTTTTGAGAACTGTTGTTATTATTTTCAGATACTGATTGTACCGATTCTTTTATGGTAATTCTACCAACATCTCGAACTTCGAATTCAATGGTGTTTTGATCTTCGATATAGGCCTCTTTCAGTGTTGGCATATTGGCAATTTGTATTTTTAGGCTATGTAAACTGCCACCAAACGTCTTACTATCAACCGGGCCATGTGTTGGAGCATTTGATGCGGAAGTTTTACATCTTGGAGATCTATTACATGAACTATTAATACTTCGCAGACTATAACTGGACATTTGATATAACTGTCGAAGATTGAACATATCAAAATCAATATTCATTTCCAATTTGCCATCAGTGTCAGCCGATAAAACTGCAGTATTGCTTCTGCACCTGGGAACCAATTGGCATTTTACCAGCATCGTTTGACAATTTTCACATTGAGATGATGTTTTGCAAATAATTTTACAATTTTTGCAGGGTTTTTGGAAATCAGGTGATAAATCTTCTTGGGAATTTTGTTGTTCGATTTCACGATCTGCAATGGAAAGATATTCATATGTATGTAAATATTTAGGTTAGGTTGTAAGTAAATAAAATATTTGTTGGAAAATCCGAGTATCTCACCGCAATTTGATTTGTTTAAATCCATTTTTATTAAATAACGCAGAATTTGAATAAATCTAAATAATAATTTCTCAACTATTGCATTAATTTTGTGGCCAAACATTAATTTATTTTTAGGGTTTTTTCTTGTGACTTAAGATTTTGGTATTACAAATTTCAATATATATTTTTTCTTTTTTCAAAATATTTTTTTTTTCATTTCATTGGAAAACATTCGAAGCCTACTTGATTTTTTTTAATTGAATTGAAGAAGTAGATTTTCATAGTAATTACCTAATGAGTGAACACATTTGGAGGGTATAAATTAACTCCAAGGATATAAATTAAGTCTAGCGTTAATATCGGCTAACCCAGATTGCAAATTTAATATATCAAATGTTTCATGTAATGAATAGTGATAGGGATCATTACATGGGAATTATATTTAAAAAAAAAGATGGACCTATTTGGAATTTTGTAACACAGTAATACTAATTTTAATGAAAATTACCCAAAATCTCAATAATGCTGTAATTTTTAATGAAATTTACCCAAAATCTCTGAATCATTAAAACTTCGAATCTTGGGAATACCCATGGTACAATAATACAAGGTAGGGCAGCTTGAGGTGAATAACAAAAAAGCACGTGTGGCTTCTTCTGCCAAAAATAAAATAAATATAAGTAAATTTATATATATTTCAATTTATTTTGAATTTATTTGACATAGTATTCAAAACAATACACACACATACACAGAATATGTATTTTGATTTGATGGAACAAGCCACCTTGAGAAAAAATTGTAATCAGTTAGTAGCTGTGCCCTACCTCGTAATAATTATACCATACAGTGGCGTGCAGAAATGTTGGTTGTATGTTTAGATTTTAGATTTTTTGGGTAAACAGACAACATTTGGTAATAATTATTTCACATGGTTGGCAATATTGCACATCGAATTCAAGTAGAAATTACGCACTTTGACAGTTAATGAAGACATCAGCTGCTCTAAATGGAATACCTATTCTTTGTGCCATGATCCGCCTCTTAAGTTTGCTGTCAAAATCCATGATTCCGAATACACTTCCATTACGAAAACGTAAACAAATTTCAAATTTTTGACATTAGACTTGAGAAAATAACAGCTGACATTCGCTTCCTGGGTGACCTAATTTATAGCTCTTGATTCACCTTAATAACAAAAATCCAAAATTTCATTTCAAGTTCAATTATATATTTTATTATTTCAAATATTTGTTTCATCACTTATACAAATAAATATATTTATATTAACTTAAATATAAATATAGGTAAATACAATTACAAATAAATATTTTTTCTCTTTTTTACGAATTGGATAGATTTAATTTGGTATAGTTATAAAATAAAAATATCATTAACATTTACTTTCCAAGTAAATGTGTGTGTGAGTGTAAATTATATTTAAAACATATTTTTGCTTATATTCTTTTTTAGTATTTTTTATTAGAATTGAATTTAAAAAATATATATCATTAATAACAAATTTTAAATAATAAATGACAATAAAATTGAAATTGTTTCATGTTCGTGCTTAAGTCAGTAGTCACACGAGCAAAATTTCATGACAAATTTTCTTCTAAATTTCTTTAAAAATTTCATTGTTGTTTAGACACGCAAAATAACTCTTGCATCAAATTTATGAATTTCCTAATTCTTCCACACACTTATTTTCTCGTTTGATCATTGTTCATGAAAATTAAAAAATGGAATTAAAAGAAAACAAAACTTAATTATAAAAGGAACCCTTGGATTACTCGAAGAAGCTATAGTCGTGGATTGCAATGAAGATATATTATGTGCCCTGCTGTTTGTTTGCCAATAGAAAACATAAAATGAAAGAAAACGCAAAACTTTGCTGCAGCCAATTTCAGTTTTTTACAACGAATATCGAAACAAAACAGAATTGCGGAGTACAAGTATGTCTGTACCCCCTTTTATTCCTCCCACTTCCTTCGCCCATAAACTCAATTTACTTTACCACAAAATTTGCCCGTGTGACTACTGACTAACTGAAAAATCAATAACTTATCAAAATTATAGGTTCGTTCCCGTACTTTTTGATAGTAAAGCTAGTAAAAGAGCGAACTATCAAAAATGGCT